TGCCTCTCTGTCAGCAGCTGACACTGTGGTGAGTGGATTTGGTGATTTGCTTACATTGAAGCACCTGTTAGATCCTTTGATGGAGTCAAACCCAAACCACAGTGTCGTAGGAGCAGGTTTGAAAGTATTAAAAATCGATTCTCTCATCATGTCACTGCATTACAGTTGGCTTGTTTTGTGTCCCATGTAACTGAGATGCTTGGGAGCCTGGAATTCTTTGTATCTGTGTACCTGGTGGGTGCCGAACAAGCTCTTAGGATGAGTGCATGAGTGCATTTGTTCATGGACTTGGCTGTACATGGAGTGCACATATTTTTCTCTCCTTTAACACCCTAGATGCGAATGGCGGTATTCTTTTCAAATGGCTGCCACGTGGAGGCACCCCACTCCTGCCTCTTAGCGTGGCACTTCTCCCCGTGTCGCTGGTCTGAGTTTAGTTCTGTTGAGTCCAGTGTGTGTTCCTTCATCAGTTACAGTTTACTTCACTTTGGGTCTTTGATGCGGAGCACAGTGCCTTTCACATGGATTTGCAACTATTTGCAACGCTCCTTTACTCCGAACTACATCAGTCTTTGAATGTTATTTTCATGCCCTTGAAATTGATCGATGTTTATATATAAGCAGTGGCCACGTGGGCAAAATCTAACTTGTTCTTCCTAATGTAGGGTTGCAGTTGTATGACTAGTATCAAAACCAGTGTGGGGTCCAAGATTTTTCTTTTTTTACTACCTTTTGAGATTCCATTTTTATTATCCTGGTTGTTTGAATAGTATGTTAATACTAGAAAACGTGTGTGGTGTGTATGTGGGGGGGAGCACGTACATGTGTCTTTGGGGTAAGCTTGGAAGAATTTGCTTCTGTCCTATATAAAAGGAGGGGTGTGTGTGTGGGAGGGTTTGGGGTGCTCACAGATTACTTTGTTGTTCTGTCAGTAGGACCTTAACAGTATGACAGAATCATTGAGTCTGTTACTACCCAGGACAAGAATCTGTCTCAATCAAGGTGAAATTCAAACTTGGGCAGAATACTAGGCCACTCAGTACTGGTGGAAAGTCATGATAGCGTGATGCTTCATAATAGGGTATTTTCTCTTTTTTAATAAATGGGATCACTTCAGGTATTGCCTGTCTGATGATATTGAGGTGTTAAGTGAATAATTCAAATTCTGCTGCCCTTACCAGCATTATGCCCATCTTGACTAGCTTATTCCAGTTCTTTAACTATGTTGGTATATGGTAAATTCATTATAAAAAGAAGAATAATAGTCTAGGTGAATGGAATCTAAGCAGTTGAAAAAATTTTTCTTTAAGGAATACTAACTACATCATATATATATATAAACCCAAACCAAATTCACTGCTGTGGAGTTAACTCCAAGCCATCGCAGCCCTGTAGGACAGAGTAGAGCTGCCCCGGTGGGTCTCCGAGACTCTTAACTCTTCACGGGGGTAGAAAATGTCATCTTTCTCCTACAGAGCGGCTGGTGGTTTTGAACAGCTGGCCTTGTGGTTTGGCAGCAATACAAAATTCCCTAAGCCGCCAGGGCCCCTGAGCTAGTTATTTTGTTTGGTTTGGTTTGGTTTTTAAGTGTATAGATAATACTTTCAAACTGTCACACTACTGTTATATTTTTGCAGCCAGGTGAGTTGAATTTTCTGGAGTTCTGACTCACTGATAGGAATTAGGTGTGGAGAGAATTTTTGCAGAGTAGTGGGCCCAGAGAATAGGAATACGATAAACTCAAGGAAGGAGCTTAGTAGGTTATACCTCTTAAAACACAGCGTTTTTAATAGTTCGGTGTTTTAGCTTAATCATTGTTTCATAGTTTAGTGGGCACTTTGTCTTTCCAGTCCCATTACTGATTTTTACCACTCTGTTGTACAACTTAGGAGGTCTGAGGTCTGGTGGTGTGTGGGCTAGCTCAGTGAGCTGCTTGCTAACCACCAAGGCCGTCATTGGATCCAACCCGCCACATGCTCCGCAGAAGAAGGATGAGGCTTCCTGTAAAGGTTTAAAGATTTTAAAAGATGGAAAGTCTTGGAAATCCGAAGGGGCAGTTCTACCGTGTCTTACAGGGTCACCATGGGTCAGGAACTGACTTCGATGGCAGCCAGCTTTTTGTGCTAACACCTACCCTAATGTGAACCGGCTCCTGAACACTTGTTTTCAAATCTGTTACGCTGTGACAGGGTCAGCAAGCCAAACACTTCGTAACAGGGTGTCATCCATTTGCTAGGTTTTGATTATACACACAGAATATATTTGTGGATTGATATACTACTTTGCTTTACATATTAAATTACCTAAATTTATATGTAAATTGAAAACTTTTGAATGTAAGCCGTTTAAATACAACCTGTTGTGAATCTTTTTGTACAGTCAGTCAACACTAATTTAACCTGTTTTGTAAATTTGATTCTAATATTACTATTTGGGGCTTTTTCAAAGTGGGCCAACCTGTGTATGCCGTCAGTATCAGAGCATGCATCGATCGATGTATGGAAACCCTTTCTTTCGAAGGAGCCCGCTGTCTTTTATGAGCACTGCCGATCAGGTGTTACTGCGACAGCTGGCATAATGGACGTATTCACGTGCCCATTTTAAGGACACTGTAGGGCTAATGGTGCATGCAGATGTTTTTTTCTTCCTCCCTACTTAATAAAGTAGTTAACTTTTTAAGAAATTTGTGGCCATTTCTATAAACAGATGCCCCTAAAACAATCCGTACATTCAGCTTACACAAAGATAAAACCATGCCACTCATAAAAGTAATTTCTAATTTGTGAAAATGTAGCTTGTATTTCAGAATGTAATAAAATATGATGTAAAATAAACTTTTGAATGGGTTAAGCGGTTTTTCAAATAAATTTCACTTTTTCACTGTCAAAATTATTTGAGTAGGGGGTACAAGAGGATTAAGGGGGAGGCCTGCAGTTGCCTTGCCCCGACTACCCCATGCTATCTTGAGATGCAGGAGTCAAGCATCTGCCTACCTTCAGTCTTGGCATTTTCTGTCTCTGTCTTAAATCTCACGGGTCCCAGACGTCTGTGACTTAAGCTCTGCTTCCTCTGTCACTTTCCTCTGCTTAGCGCCTGCTCATCCTTAGAGACCTAGTGTAGACATTCTCTTCACCGCGGAGCCTCATACACCCGCCTTTAACAAAGCCCTTGATGTACTGAATCCTGCCTTTCTGTTTGTACTTAGCCACCCCCCTTTCTGGGGACTATCACTCCTCCTGTTAAAATGTATTTCTGTAACTTGGTACAGGTTGCTGGGCAGTTGCAGGGCTGGAGAGTGACAGTGGTCCAGAGCCATTGGCACAGGACTTGCTTAGTAAATGTAAGCTGTGTGCTGGAGTTGTTGCTGCCTGAGGACAGTGTGGCTTCACAGACTGTTCACTGTATTGCAGTGTGTGTGCCCTCCCTCTTCTCCTGGTGTGCTGTGTGTTCCATCATACACAGACTTCTTAGTGTAGATCTGATAAACGAGGATCAAACCTCCTCCATGATGTCACACAGTTTGACTGGCAAACACGAGGCCTCAGAGTGTGCTCAGAATATGGGGCTGTGTTAAGATCCTGGCATCCAGACCCCTACCATCTCTGTGTCCTGGTGTTACCGTTTTGGAAAGTCCCTCCCTACTCCCTTACCCCGTCCTCCCATCCTCCACCTTAGGAAAGTAGTTGTTTAAGAAACTTGGGGGATTTGAAGCTAAATGTCAAAAACAGGAAATACATGCTTGTCTCCCAGATCTGATAGTTTTCACATTCTAAAGGCATTCCTTGTTCTTGAGCAGCTTCATGTCATTATTAATAAATAAGCTTTTCCTCCTCAGCCATGGCTGCCAAGCCGCACCTGAGGCCCTGTGACTAGGAGACTAACCTACTGGTAATTGGGCTCCCTCGTGGCCCGGCGTGCGCTTCCTGCCCAATCACCACTTAGTGGAACGCCTGCGAAGATGCTCTTCAGGCTCTGTAAAGCCTTCCTCCTCACCAGCAGCCGGATTTATCTTTGATTGCACTTCCCCCTTATTCCTACTGCTCTGTACCTGGAGGTGGCTTGTCGATGCAGAGGGCAGCCACCTGTTCATCACATGCTTTGTCGGCACTGCCACATTGGGGCTCAGAATATCAACTGTTAGCTAGATTCCATTCCTTTTCCTCCTTTCCCTTGAAGTTCAGGGTGGTGAACTGGTTGCATCGTGGCCGCGGAAGTGATGCAAGAACACACCCTGTGTTTTAAAGCAGGGGTCCTCAAACTAGGGCCCGCGGGCCACATGCGGCCCGGCTGAGGACATTTATACGACCCGCTGGGTGTTTTTGCCCCATTTGTTTTTTTACTTCAAAATAAGATATGTGCAGTGTGCACAGGAATTTGTTCATCGTTTTCTTTATTGTTTGTTTAAACCATAGTCCGGCCCTCCAACGGTCTGAGGGACCGTGAACTGGCCTCCTGTTTAAAAAGTTTGAGGACCCCTGATTTAAAGTCTAGGTGAACCAGAAGGGGGAAAATCACAGGTCAATGCTAGAAGTAATTTTCCTCTTAGACAACACGGGCAGCCTGCGCATAGCACAGCACCCGAAGTGCTGAGACAGCGGCGTCGAGAAGGGCAGCCTGGCCTGATGTCTGGATGCGTGCTGCTCTGCACGGGCCTGGCAACAAGGCCTGTGTATCTGGTGCGTGACACGGCCCACTTCTCTTGAGTCCCATTCCAGTGCTTTGGCCCCCGTATTTGCCCATGCTGGGTCCACCCACATTTGGAAATTTCCGGGTCCCAGTTTCCCATCATTGGCCAAAACTGAACCGGTTTGAAGTCTGTCTGATAACTGGAAACTCCTGCAGGGGTGGGGGGAGGGTGGCACACACAGACATTGCAGGGGAAGAACTATAAAAGCTAGGAACAATATTAAGGAATTATGTACTAGTAACTAAACTTAATTCTTTCAATGATTTCATTAAAAAGAAAAGTACGAAAAAAATGTATAATTGAGATCTTCGACTAATTGTCAATAATTTCTCATGTTTATTTTAGAACAGCTTGGGGAAGTTTATAAGCAGGCATTTGTCAGCAAAGCAAAGAAGGGGAACAAACCTAGAAAATAATGGAAGGATTAGACGTGCACTACCCCTTCGGTTCATTTGCACACACCGATGAATACAATTCAAAGCAATTGAGCAGTATGTTTTCAAGGGGCCCAGAGTACTGTCCTCCAGATTGCGTGGAAAACACTGGCCCCGCGGCAACAAGCCACCTGGAGCGGCTCTGGTTGTCTTTTCTGCTAATTCTCATGTCACAGCAGGTTGGTGTATGAAGTGACTTCACACCATGCCCAAGATGCGGGCCACCCACCAGCTACAGGGCATGACGACCCTGCAGGCTGACCGACACCCTTGGTAATTATAGGGCCATGGGTGAAAGCCCCCCAGGGGCTCGCAGATCCTCTGGCAGTGTGTGTAGCTCCTCCGGCACTCGATACAGCAAATTCCTTCATGATCCAGCCGAGGGTCGAACGTCATGCTCTCACCCTCCTCCTGCTGCTGCGAAGGGCGAGAGAGTGATGTGGGTGAAAAGTCTTCAGCGCATGCGCCTTATTTTTAAATAGCATCCCGGGCTTTCCACTGCCACAAGAAGTCCACGTAACCTGCGGGGCTGCACTTGCTGCCCGGTAGCCTATTCCCCTTCAGAATTAATCTGAGCTCATGAAACTTTCACCTGCCTCATCTGCCGTAGCTGGAACTTGGTGTGGGTCTGGGAATGAATGATGCCCTGAAGTTGCGGCATGCCTTTAATGAGCCAGGTTACCTGTCGCTAGTGACTCAACTGGTTTTAAGTCGCTGAACAAGAAAGAAGCACCATGACTCAAAAGTAACGTTCCTGCCACTGCTAATTGTAAGTCAGTGGGGAGCTGGTGCCTTCTTGTCATAATGGCTTCAGGGCTCTTGGGAGCATATGTGGAGATTCGTTGATCTAGGCTAACCACTGGTTTCAGCTCCAGCTGTACTGACCTTGGGAACACTGCACCCTTATTTCATTTCTCCTGCTGGCAACAGAACGGGATGTCATCTTCATGGGGACGAGGGGGGTTTGTAATGCTCAGGAAAGACCTAAACTTTCCCCCCAAGTTTAAATGCACCATACTTAACAGCTACATAAATGGAAAATTAGGTTGGAAGAAAAAAAACGGCTTACAAAAGTCTGTCTTGTCACTGCTGGAGAGAAGGATCGAAATGGGGGCGGGTGGCTTGTTGCCTGCTCGATGCGCGTGCGATGGACGTCATTTTCAAGGGTTACTAGGGGTAAAGATTCGGTGCCTCCCATCATGTTACTGAGTTGCTTTGCTAAGCAGTTCTTTACTTTGACCCTTGTGTTGAATTCTTTCCTGAATTTGAGGAGATGTAGCACCAAGCGAACACTCTAAACCAGGTGCAGTTGGATCAGTTCTGACTCGTGGGGGCCGTGTTCTACAAAGTAGAACTGGGTCCCAGAGGGTGTTCTCGGCTTAATCACTATGGAAGCAGAACCCCGGGCCTGCCTCTGCGGAGCCTCAAGTGCAAACCATGCGCACCAGGTACGAAATAAAAGATCAAGTTTTTCATTAGACTTTAATTGGGGGTGGGGGTGTTTTATTATGAAAATTGTCTAATAACACTGGGAAGAAATTGTATACTTACCACAAACCTATAGACACTACCTTTTATCAACGTTACCTTTTCTTTTTTGATGTTAGTATTTTAAATTCTAAAGAAGTGCAACAAAATTGGAAATGTTTGCGATACTTCACACACAAATACATTAGACCGTACCTCCAAGGTAGGTAGCCATTTCCCTACTGTCATCACACTTAATGACATTAACAGCTCCCGCACACTGTCTGCTAAAGCTTGACCTCGAATGTCCCTCCTTACCGAAATAGCACGCATTGTCTCTTTACACGATTTTCTCTTCAGTTTTTTTTTTCTTTCTTACCTCTTGAATTGGGTTCATCTGAGAAAGCAAATCATCTTGTTTATTACAGCTGACTTTGGGGCCTGTACTGGACTGCTAATCACAGGGTCAGTGGTTCAAGTCTACCAGACTTGGGTGAAAGTTGCTGCTGCCTGCCCCAGTAAAGACTTACAGCTTGAGTGAGAACTGACTTGATGGCAGCGGGCTGTAGTTTCTGGTATCGCAGGCTGGCGAGGCATCTTAACACAAGGGTGCCTTAGGGTTGAAAAGTTGGGAGAAGTTGCAGGTGGCACTAAGGCAGTGGTTCTCAGCCTTTCTAATGCCTAATACAGTTCCTCGTTGTGGTGACCCCCCCAACCATAACATTATTGTCGTTGCTACTTCATAACTCATTTTGCTATTGTTATGAATCGGGCGACCCCTGTGAAAGGGTCATTTGACCCCCAAAGGGGGTGCGACCCGCAGGTTGAGAACCGCGATTCTAAGGTATATCCTCTTCAAAGGACTGTATGGATCAGTGCAGCCACACGGAGGGGATGAGTAAATGGATGTAGCCGGAGTTTCCCCAGGGCCATGGGACTCTTGTGTCTGCAGCCAACAGCTCTGCAGGGTGCTGGTGGTCTCACCCCTCATCCCAGCACCCTGGGGAAATAAACTATATTAAAATTGCTGTTTGCCTATTCAGATTCCCCACCCCCCCTTTTTTTTTGTTTTTTCCTTCTTTGAGCTTAGGGAATGAAGGACTGAATTTTCTAAGCCTTGGGTTATTTAGAAAGTGCAATTTGCTCTAAATCTCACTTAAAAATAGTCTAAAACGATAAATTAGAAAATAGATTTGCAACACATGACAAACTGTAGCGCTGAACAGGCTACACCGAAAAAAAAAAATGACTTCCCAGTGTAGGAAAAGGAGGGCAACCGATGTATGACTAAGGACGGCAAGATAAACCTAACTGTTTTATGCCCAAGAGATGGGCAGAGATTACCTTAGATGATTACCATTTGTGTACCAAATGCCCTTCCATGGAAGGCAGTAGGCACTTTCCATTAGAATTGACATCCCGTCCACTTCGACCCAGCAGAGCCATGCTTGAGTGTTTATTCTAAAGATATACACCTATATAGGTACAAGTAGTATTATAATAATAGTCATGAGGCCCTGTGTTTTAGGTACGATAACGTTTAACCCTTCCCATTACCCTAGAAGGCATGTGCAAGGTTATATATTATCCTTAACAGCTCAAAACCCAGACCGAGTGCCATTTAGTTTGTTCTGACTCGGTGGCCTGCAGAGTGTCTGAGGCTGTGAATCTTTGAGTGTAGACAGCCTCATTTTTCCCAATGGAGTGACTGATGGGTTTGAACCCACCAACCGTGAGGTTCACAGTCCAACACTTAAGAGAACAGTGACAGTAGGAAGGGAAATAAATGTCCTTTCGGGAAGAACATGTCAAATTTCTATGAAATTTCAAAGGAATAGCCTAGAAATACTATGTGGATGTTACACTGAATGGGGTAGATCTAGAGCAGGCATTGGCAACTGGCTTTTGAGCTGTATGCAGCTCTTACAGTCACATACATGTGACTGAAGTACAGTGGAAAGTTGTAAAGGACATTACTCGGATAATGGTGATTTCATTTGTTTGTAAAAAATCTATGGCTCCTGAATAACTTTTTAATTGTTTGGACAAGATTGGCTCTTCTGTCTCAGAAGTTTGCCAGACCCAGATCTAGAGAAGGCCCCCAAACACTGTTCTCTCATAGGAAAGAAAGCACAATGCCAACGTTCTGTATGGTCATTCTCATGTGTGTTAAAAATATGTGTGTGCAAAGAAATTGGGGAGTAGCTCGTAATCAATAGGTTTTTATCTGGGAAAGATGTCTGAGTGGAAGGAAAGCTTCCTTCTCCTGTATGCGCTTTTGTCCCCGGATTTTTAATATCCGCCCTCCTGACTTATTGGCGGGATTAAGTTCCAAAAGCAGGCCATGATGCAAAAATGGAGGATGGTGTCATCACATCACTAAACTGAGGATGACAACATCAAATAAACTGATACACCCCTGACACAGCCCTGCTGGTGAAGTGCTACTAACCCTCAAGGTCAGCGGTTCCAAACCACCTGCCATGGTGGGAGAAAGATGAGGCTTTCTTACTCCCGTAAATAAGTATAGTCCAGGAAACCCACAGAAGCAGTTCTACCCTGTCCCATAGGGTCGCTGTGAATCGGAATCAACTTGATGGTTGTGCAGTTTTTTGGGAAGCCACTGAGAATCATGACCCAACCCAATTCGCCACCACAGCCAGCTTACTCTTCCTTCGTACCTCAGTGTTCATTACTGCCAGGCATGTCCCTTACTATTGATAGGGATATGGAATGCCACCAAGTAGTTGGTAAGTGAGGAGATGTGCACCTTTTCTTGGTTCCATTAGATGAGTTCCCTTTTCGCTCCTTGGAAAGTATTGTTTGTTAGCTGCCTTCAGGTTGAGACTAACCCCAGCGACCCTATCTGTACAGAACAGAAACACCATCTGGTCCTGCGCCACCCTCGGTCTTACTTTGAATCCCTGGGTGTGGCCACATCTTGGGAAGTATAGTAATAAAAATACTTCACCAAAGGCTTGAGATTCTTTTTAGCACGTGAGAGTCACCCTATGTGCCAGTCTGTCTCCCCAGTGGGACGGAACCCCGGAGGGAAGAAGCTACATCTCACTTTGTAGGGACCAGGCCTGGAAGCCAGCAGGCGCTTGACAGATGCTTGTTGAATAGATGAATACAAGGACCACAGGAGGGAGTGCTCTCAGTCGGTGTTGACTCCAGGTTATATGAAGCCAGAGAACAACTCTTCATAAGGCTTAGAACGAATCAGGAGTTGACACGGCACAATGGACACCTTAAGTGTTCTGACCCTGAGTCACACACCGGCAACAACCGCCACCACAAAACATTCAGGTGTACAAGGGGCTTCAAAAACACTGAGGGAGATCGCAGTTTCCTTTCATTCCGTCTTCCCATGAACTATCTGACGACCCCTCATACTTCAGAAGAATGGGGCATAACGTCTTAGCCATGTCCCTGCTGCTCATCCGAGGCCCCACAGTCTGCTCTGCTGGATGCAGTCGGTGCGGCCGCGGTACTCACGTGGTACGGGTTGTCTGGGTTAAAGGGCACTGCGTCCTCTTGAACATCGGGTCTGGAGGCATTATTCAGCCCTCCGGGGCCGGGGTTGCCCTGTGGTGGTCCACTTCGTCGTCTTGTGGTATTCTGGACAACTTTTCTCGCCACTTCTCTTCTTTCTCTCTGGATTTCTATTTAAAAAAAAAAAAAAACATGCATTATTTATTTGCAATAACAATGGAAAATCTTGCATTATCAAGGAGAAAATACATATCCAAGGAAAATACCAAATTCCCTGCCCTGGAGTCTCTACCAACTCATAGCAACCCTATAGGACAGAGTGAACTGTCCCTGGGAGTTTCTGAGACTAATTGTTTATGGGAGTAGAAAGCCCAGTCTCTCCTGCAGAGTGAGTGGTAGTTTCGAACTGCAGACCTTGTGGTTAGCAGCCCAGCGAGTAACCTCTGTACCACTAGTGTGCCCTCCCCAAGAACATGGTAGCATATACATCATGTGACTCCAACCAAACTTACTTCCCTCCAGTCAGTTCCACCTCTGACCCTGTAGGACAGAGTAGACGTGTGCCTGTGGGTTTCTGAGCCTCCTCTTTCTCTCACGCATTGGCTGGTAGGTTTGTACTGCTGACCTTGAAGTAGTTAGCAGCAAAACGTGGAACTCACTACGCCACCAGGGGGCTCCTACATACATGCTTAGATCCTATTTAAATTTGGTAGTGGTTAAAGCCTACAGAGAACTAGAGTTTATGAGGCAGCCAGTTGGCATGATCAAACAGAGGGAGCTGGCTGTCAAATGTCCATTCTCAGCCCGTATCCCTGCCTGCTTCTACTGCAGAGGCCGGGAAAGCACGACACTGGGGGTCCCTCAGCCTCCTTTGCGGTTTGCAGTAAGCGGTGCCGGCCAGTGAGACATAGCAGACTGTGCTGGTGCAGTTTCTGGGAAAGCATCTGCTTCCTGTTCCCTTTCCTCCACAGTAGGTGTGTCATCTGGAGCCAACTTGTGATCAGGAAGTGATACGCCTGAGGATAACAAGTTACTTGCTCCAGGTGGCACAGTGGCAAGCTAGGAGTGTTGAGGGGATTGGAGAGTATCAGCTGATGGCAGAAGCCTTACGTCCAGACTTCTGATTATTATATTATGAAAATGAACCATGTGTTAGCCACTGTTGTTTCGATATCTGTTACTTGCCACCCTGTGCACTCCTGATGAGTTGCCTGTTTATAGCATGCCGTCCTTTTCAAGGGATACATTATCTTGGCTGACTCTCTCAACCACTTTCACAGAATATCAAAAGCAGGGCAACGAGGCTCATAAAGACCAAATGACTTGGCCAAGACCATAGAATGAGTGGCTGAGCTAGGAGCACAATGTGATTCCCCCCAACCCCTTCTTCTCCCAGTTTCCAGCCCAGCGCTTTACTTCAACCACCGCCTCACTGATACTGCAGCTTCCAAGAAACCCAGGCCTCAAGTACCAGATGGCCTCAGCTTCCTCATCTGCAAAATGGACCCTAATCCACAGGATCATGATTGGGCTAAAGAGAACTGGCATCGGAAGATATGCCTTAATGTTGGCCCATAATGAGCACTGGGATGTGATGGGGTGGTGGGGGGGTGATGAGTCGCCGGAGGTGCTGCAGCCTCTTGGTTCCTGAGGCTGGGCCGCAGCATCTGGAAGACGTGGATTCCGTTCACAAGCCTCACTTCTTTTAAGTAGCCGGATAACCTCAGGCAAATGACTTAAATCTTGGAACCTTAGTTCCTTCATCTGGAAACTGGGAACATCAGTAGTTAGCCTGACAGTTGTCGACAACGACTAACAGGCTAACAGAGCCTGCCAGGACTCTCCCCTCCCTCCTGTCTAGGTCTAGCTGCCGTTCAGAGTGTCTGTCCCATGCCCTGGCGGGCTGAAGAAACTCAGGCGAAGGAATTCAGCACCCTAGTCCCTTCAGGGGTGGCTTGTTCATTCCCTTGGGTCTAGAGCAGTGCTTCTCAACCTGTGGGTTGCGACCCCTTTGGAGGTGAAACAACCCTTTCACAGGGGTTGCCTAAGGCCATTTCACAATATATAATTACATATTCTGTGATTAATCACTATGTTTTAATTATGTTCAATTTGTAACAATGAAAATGCTTCCTGCACATCAGATATTTACATTACGATTCATGATAGTAGTAGCAACATGACAGTGATGAAGTAGCAAGAAAATAATTTTATGGTTGGAGGTCACCACAACATGAGGAACTGTATGACAGGGTTGCCGCATTAGGGAGGTTGAGAACCACTGGTCTAAAGCAGGGGTGTGTGGCACCTCGGAGCCCTTCAGTCAAGGTTTGTCGGGGAAGTAATGAACTCCGGTGTCAGAGGCTAGCCTTCAGAAAATTACCCAGGAGCAGGATTGGAGTCCCTTGTCTTGACAGGAAAAGGAGACAAGGTCTGGCCCAGGTAGTTCCTGGTGAGTGGAAGCAAGAAGGGACAGGAAAGCAAGAACTTGGTGAATGGCTGTAGAATTCCAAGTTGTAGCTACTCACTGGGGCTGAGAGCAGGGATGGCAAAAGCCCAGTCCATTGTCCCCAGCAGCCCCCCAGGTGAAGCAGCTGGTGCTTACTGTGCCAAGCAGGTATTCTCTCGGACTGAGTCTGCAAGAGCCTCAGATTCCTTCTAAACCCAGAACTCCTAGCAGCCACTGCGAGTGGCCTTTAGACGGAGTGCCACCTGCCTCCCCTGGGCTAGAGCAGCCCATCCTTGTCCAGGTTGAGGAACACAATCAGACGTGTGGCCCTGGAGGAATGAATGAGCCACAGCAGAACCAGAAGCAGGAACTTTCTGAATGCTGGTCTCACTGCTGTATTGTCTTTGTGTCCCTGCCGCTCTCTCTGGGTTCATAACGTCCTCAGCTGTCCTGGGAGAAAGGGCCCCTTTCCCACACTTGAGGCAGAAATATTAAGTGTGGTGACTGTGGTGGAAATGGAAAGGAGGAACTCGGGGGACAGCGCGAAACCCACAAGGTTCACCTGCCTTTCACTGCCTGCAAATAGCTCCAAGGCATCCTCTAACCGAGTCCTGGGTCCCTGGGACCCCTTTATTTTCACAGAACTTGGAAGCTGGCCCTCCAGCCTGTACCCACATCAGCTTTTGGCTGTCCAATAATTCTAGGTTTGAACATAATAAAGATCCAGGCATATGACAACTTCTTGGTCCCTTGGTCCTGTGCCTTAGGAATAAAAGGGAAGGGAAATTGGAAGGTGCAAACATCGGAGATTAAGGGGCAGAGCTGAGAGCAGGGAGAGCCTCGTAAATAAAAAGCCAGGGACTGTCCTGGCATGCTGACTGCCAGCTCGGCCGCTTGTTCCCTCCTACACAATCGGCATGGGCTGTCACCTCTGGCATGATAATTAGTGTGTCCTCATTTCTCATGCTCAAAAACATGCCCAGACTTGTGAGTGGGATCCCGGGTTGGGGGTGGTTCAGAGGAACCCCACACACTGCAATAGGGAGGACTCTGGGTAGCCTTGTTGCTGGTTGTGGCCCGGTTGGCCTCTGGCTCCTGGCAACCCCGTGCACAACCAACAGAACGAAGTGCTGCCCGGTCCGGCACCATCCTCACGATTGTCTCGGGCTCAGACCATGGTGACCCCTACGGTTGTCATTGGAAGTAGAACTAGATCGCCAGGACTGTCTTCCGGAAGACAGTCTCAATCCGGAAGCTCCCCTCAAACTTGCTGTGCATCACAACAAGGGCCTGCACAGGACAGGGGCGGCTGTGCACGAGGTGCATCGATGGACAGGGATCGAACCTGAGTCTCCCACCTGGGAAGTGAGAGTTCTATGACAGAACCACCAGCTGACCCCCGGGAGCACTGAGATGACTTTAGCCGTTACCTTGGGGGTAGGTGGGCTTCAGCCAGAAGATGGGAAGATCACCGCAGAGCTCGAGCACGCTGGCACTCAAAAAGCCGCTGTCCTTCACAGGCCGGTCGACAGCCACCCAGACCAGAGACTTTCCTTCAAATGTAGCTGGCATGACCTTGCCTTCCTGTGAGGAAGTAGAAAGGAAGCACCCTGAACAACGAGGGTCTCCGCTGCCCTGTGCAGAGTCCGCTGAAAGATGATTCTGCCTTATAAAAACCGAATGAGAAATCTGCGCGGTGAGTGCCCCTGCCCATGCCCTGGGAAGCTCTAGGGGCGTCTCTCCAGCTGTAAACGGTGTTCAGTGGCCTCAGCTTGGCCCTGCCTTCAGACAGCTGTGGCGTGTGGATGCCGAGTGTCCCGCGTGGAGGTGAAAATTACCTGCTGCCGACTTTGAGAGTTAGGCCAGCTTGCCGCGTTTGATCAAAGGTGTTTTAGAGGAAAGGCAGAGCACAGGCCTTGGCATGGCCTCAGAGAGAGGCGGGCCTTCATTTGAAGCGGAGATCCTTGGGGGCCTTTGTTCCGTGGCTTCCTCACAATGGGGCACGGAGCAGTTCTCTAATTCTTCATTTCAACGTGTTGTTTCACACCAACCGTTCCACCTTCCCCAGCCTGAAGGTTTCTCCCACCGTGAGACCCTGAGACTGCTTGGCGACCCCAGGAGACAGGTTCGTTTGCCAGGCGGTCCCTTTCCTGTGTTTAGGCGTTCACAATCAGGTGGAGAAATTGAAACGTTTTCTCTTTTATTTTTAGCTAAACGTTGCCCTTCATTTATGCTCGCTCCCTCCGGCTCAGGGCTGCGTTAAAACAACTAAAAGTTATCGGAGGAAGCCGATGCTCAGGTGATCCAGTTATTTACCTTAAATGAAATGGCTCCAGCCAGGAAATGACTGCGCTTTGGGGATAGTAGCTTTTTAAAGGTGCATAAAACTGATGAAACATTTATGAGAGCGAATGGTGCATAATATAATCTAAGTGTGTGGGGAAGAGTGGAAGGATTGGTATAATGCATATGCATTATATACACACACACATATATGCATATATAACTGTACATGCAGCTGACAAGCTAGGAATGGGAAATAAATCTTGCCATGCACACTTGCAATTGCCAACTTATCTCCTCCCCCACGTCCTGTTCCTTGCAACCCACTCTCGGTTTTGTTGAGGCAGCAAGGTGCCCAGTCTCGGGAGAAGACACTTGCTTTCTCAGACTCTCTAGGGGCACCTGCATGCCAGCTTCTTGCCAGCTGCATCCAGGCTGACAGATGTTGGGGGCTGAGGAAGCTTCTGCTTTTCCTGACTTCAGGCAGTCCTAGTGGGCAATGCTCAGCCTCTCTCTGAGGTCCTGGTGTATGCTTGGAGCTGAAAGGAAAGGCCGAGAAAACTAGCGATGCTGGCCCCTGAGCCCATGCCGACAGCTGTCGCCGCCTCCGCAGCTTCACAGAGAAGAGCAAGCCCGTTTGTTCAGCGCACTCCCAGCCGGGTTGGCTGTGGCTCTCAGTCAAACACGCTTCTAAACCACACAGACCTACTGTCTGAATGTGGTCGGGTCCTTCGAGCACCCACAGTGCACAACATAAACACCTGAACCTCAAGAAAAGCAATTCACCTACTGAGGCCTACAGAAAGAAGTAGGCGTAGATAGAGTCTTAAATATGAGAATATGTACCAGCGTGTTAATTTGAAATAGTGAAGAAGAAAAGAAGATAATGAAATGTTTAAGAATAAAAAGACTTTTAAAATCATGGTTGGCTCATATAAGGATATATAATAAATATTTCCATTAAATATATTTTAAATGTTAGTATTGGATATATATATAGTGTATGTGTATATAATGCATATGCATTATACCAATCATTCCACTCTTCCCCACACACTTACACAATGGCGAGTGATTTTTGTCTCTATTCTTAGATGTGGTTGCTAAATTTTCTACAATGACAATGTATTGTTTTCAAAAATCAGAAAAAGAATAATATCAAATTACAGAAAATATGTTGACAAACCTATGGTTAGATCTGTGTCCGCTATGGTCTGGAAGCAGGCCCTTCTGGGAGGAGAGAGAAAACAAGTCCTGGGGCCACTTTGGGTGAGAATGTCCCTAAGTGTTTCCTACAAGGAACTGAGTGCCATGCTGCACTAAGAGAAGACCAAGGGCCAGCATATGGTTCCAGTGGGTAAAGTGCTCATCTGCTAACCGGAAGGTCATTGGTTTGAACCCACCAGCCTCTCCATGGAAGAAAGATGAGGCAGTCTGTTTTCATCAAGATGTATAACCTTGGGAACCCTGCGGGGCTGTTTCACTCTGTCCTAGAGTGCTGCTGCCAGTCAGGATCGACTATGGCCGCGGGATATTGGAAGCTCACCCTGCAAATCCAGAGAGCAGTCCTGGGGGGGGGAGAACGCCTGAGGAACAGGGTCCCCAGCAAGGCCATGATCAGAGCAGAATCGCTTGGACAAGAAGATCTGGAAACCATTTGGTGATCTGATCCTCCAGTTGTTCCAGGGGAAAAGGACCTGGCGATCTACTCCCCTAAAGCCCTTGGGGGCAGCTCCATTCTGCCACAGGGAGTCAACAAAGGGAGTCACAGCAACCACAGGATTAAAATAGCTGACATTCCTTTGATAGAGAGGAGATGGTGGTTCTGGTGTGAACACAAGGGGGTGGTGTCTCCACACAGCATCTCCCAGAACTCCTGACAGTCCTTGGCAGGCCGGTACTCACCAGTTGGGAGGAGATGCTCTGCTGGGTCATGGTGTCCACCTCCGGAATGCGTGCCTTCACTTGCGCTTTGATGTAGCACTTCTCCCCGCCAGCAAAACGGATTCCTGTGATGCCCTACGGAGCAAATGGGTTATCCAGCCTTCTCTTATTCAACTTCACCCGTGTGCGAGGCCCGGGCCCAGGTGTGGCTTATGAATGAACATGCAGAAGCGCTCCCTGCCCTCATGAAACACATATTTCAACATTATTTGCCAGTAATAATACTGTAGATGTCAGATACAGTCAAGGTAGTCATAAGTTCTGGGGAGGGCAGCGGCGGTTTAGTGGTAAAAGTCTTGCCTTCCGTGTGACTGGGGTTGACTCCTAGTCAGTGGCAGCTCATGCATCGCCAACTCCCATCCGCCAGTGAAGCCTGGGTGTGGCTATGACGCTGAACCATTTTCAGCAGAGGTTCCAGAAAAATCAATCTAGGAAAGCCCTGTAGATCGCTAACAGAATCTCAATCCCAATGGAGAAAATTCAGAACAGAACCTCACATTCCCTCAAAACAACTGCCCCGCGATCATAGATCTCGGCTAGAACCCAAACATAGCTTTATATTCATCAGTGTGCCTCCCTGAGCATTGTATTCTTCATCCATCTGAGTGAAACAGATTGACAACAGCCACTCAAAAGGTTCATTGAGAAGCTTAGTGGGTAGTGAATTTAAGTCACTGGTGGTGGAACAGTTTGAAAATATAATCAATGTCACCGAGTTGTAGCTGCAGAAATGATTAAGATGGTGACTATATTTTCACACACAAAGCAAAAGAGCCCTATGGATCACAATGGCTCACTGCGTAGCGTATGGGGTTGCCGTGGTCTGGGGCTGGCTCAATGACAGTACGCAACAACACCGTGTGCTGTTGAAGGAAACGGAAGCCGAGGAGGTTAGGAAAGATGAATGCTTTAGCTCTTGTGCCCAGGGAAGACTGGCAGGAGGAGGGCATTTGAGCGGAGACCTGAGAGTCCGGATGATGAACTGCCCCCTTTGAACTTGACTTTACAAGTGGTTAATAACCGATTACTGTTGAGAATATACATAGCGAACACATACACCCATGCAGGTTTCCTTCGCTGCAGTCCGACACTGAACTCCCTCCGGAGTTGTGCAGCCAGTCTCTCTTCTTTGTGATGCGTCTCCTTCCTTGGCACCCCCTCACTGCCCCCTGCAGCTTCCAACAAGTCTTTCACACGCTGTGTCCGTTTGAGCCCACGTTCGCTCCCTCTTGAAAGATGGGCAAGGCCGTCTCTTCATGAGTGAAGCTGAACTACGGCTTCATGACAAGAAGACTTCAGGGAGTACTTTTTGCCTTAAGGTTGAAAGAGATTGTCTCAGGGCAGCAGTCTTGCGGGGTCAACCATACATGGTTGGGGTGTATATGAACAGAGCGAGCTTGCTGGGTCATGTTGTTGTCTTTATTATCGAGTAGAATGTGTTGCCCTCAGCTATCCCTTGGCTTTGTCTCAGGTGAGACAGAGTTGTCCCTTCCTCCTGGGTGCAGGGATCAACCTCAAGGAAGATACGAACTGCTAGCCTTCAAGGCCACGAGGGCATCCGGAGTACGAGTCAGTTCTGCCCCGTGAGTGTTTACTGCCCCCTGCAGGTGAGTGCCAGGATTCATGTGTGACCTAAAGAGTGTCCGAGGTTAACACATTCTATCCATGGTAATGACGACACCGATAAGACCCAGCAAGCTCTGTTCATATCTACCCCAAAGAAATAAGGAGCAACGCATAACCAGACATGCGCACACTCCTGGGGCTAGCGAGAAGACGGAAACACCCTCGCGCCCTCTGGGGGAAAGGACCAGCCTGGGCGGCAGACACGCAGTGGATCGTGCAGAACAATGGTGGACTGTCACAGCAGGTGGCGTGGATAAAGCTGGGAGATACTGTGCCAAGTGAAGTGAGTCAATGGCATTAAGACACATACTGTGTTCTGAGACCACTGTTATCGAAGGGGAAAAATATTTTCATAGCAAAAGAAATAGACTGTGGTGGTTAGAGAGAAAGAGTGGGGAGGGATGGGGAAGCAACATTAAAATTTTAAAAATAAAATTTCTTAATCTAATAACAATAATGAGGACACCAGTAGAGTGCTGAACGTTGTCAGTCTTCAGAGGGCTGTTGGGAAGATGCAGAGCTGGCTGGTCCCAGCGTCAGAGGTGGGGGTGGGGGTGGGGGGACCTGACTCGGCTCAGCAGTATGAAGGACAGGATGAAGCCCCGTGTAAGGGACACTGAGGATATTGGTGGAAAGTTATTCTGTGGGTCATTGCAGGTGGGACCAGGCTGGGCAACCGAGAAGAAAGAGCTTGTTTTCCTTCAAGCGCCCTGCGTCCCAAGTGACCACGCACATCTAGAACCCTCCCATCACTTCTCCCTCTCAACACCAGTAGGCGTGACTGCCCCCGATCTCCCTCCCTCCCGTAGACTTGAAACCCCAAGGCTTACCACAGAAGTTCTCTTCTCCCTTCCCTGTGCCTCACCTGTTGCGATTTTAAGTACACAGATGCCTGGGCCCTTTTCCATTTAATTGGCCTGGTGTGAAGGGGCTGGGGGCGGAAGCCCTAAGCACAGGAGCTCTGGTGGCATAGTGGTGGCCTATTGGGCTGCTAACTACAAAGTCTGCAGTTCGGAACCACCAGCTGCCCCTCAAGAGAAAGGGCTGTCTACTCCCATAAAGGGTACAGTCTTGGAAACTCATCGGGTGGTTCTAACCTGTCTTGTAGGGTAAGGTGACCAGATTTTAACATTGGTAAAGCGAGACACCATTGATAAAACTCATATCCTGGCGAAATAGCCACATGGCAGCTGAAAACCGTATACCCTAGCTTGTCGTGCATTCTTTCCAAAAATCGGGACTTTTTAAAAAACGCTGCGGGACGCAGGAAA